CTGCCCCTACCAACTGGCATTTATTGAAGAGGAAGGGTGGTTAATGGAAAGGAAGCCTCCGCTGCAGGCATCTGTGGCAGGGGATGAAGCAGTCATGGGGGCAGAGAGGAAAGACCTGTGAGGGAACTGAACGAGACACATCCTCAGACCCCATCCCAGCATGAGGAAGGGGAATAGAGTCTAATAACAAAACATTATTGTCTATAGTAAGGATCTTTGTTGCAATTGTATTTGTTCTGACAAGGATGTTCATCTGATGAAATTAAATTAGGCATTTAAGAGACTGATCTACCCATCCAGAGAAATCAATATACAAATGAATAGAGCCAGATTGTTTTCCCAGGAGGGCCAGTTAAAAAACAGATCTTAGAAACAGAACCACAGATTACCACTAGTGATCAGCCATAGCTTATAGTTCGCACAATTCACAACACATTATTGATAAGCTATAAACAACAGCCCAACATTTGGTAGCAGACCCATAGTTGCATATAGACAGCCAGTCAGCCAGAAGTAGATTCTCGTAAATAACCAGAAGCAGGATATGCTAATATGAGAAACAAACCCTGCAACAAGCCCAGATGTGTACTTTGCCCATATTTACCCCAACATCACCATCATATGCTCCAACAATTTTCCACACCAGGCTAGAAGTGCCTTAACATGTTCTTCCTCTAAAGCACAGGTGTCAAACTCGCCATATCACGTGACGTGTCGCGACGTATCGCGACTTTTCTTGCGTTGCCAGAGCTGGGGTGGGAGCGGCCTCCGCATGATGCAACCGGTCCGCGGGCCAGCAGTTTGACACCCCTGCTCTAATGCAAGGCTTCTGAAGTCTGCATAAATTACTCAGAACTGGGTAAAAGTGTTTTTTCTTTGAGTAACAACACATGAACCCATTATCCTTCACAACAGGGATATTTAAATTGACTTAAAGATTGCCATGTGTACTAAAATATATTCAGAAACCTCCCAAAGTATTACTTTTAAGATGGTAATTGATTACATTACCAATGAGAAATTGTTGAAATAACATAAAGATTATTCAGTGATACTGTTTTTATAATGTAGGTAGTTCTCAAGCTACAACCATTTGTTCAGGAAGAGACTTAATACCAGTCCTCAAACTTTGGTAAGATTTTCTGATAAGCAGTTTTAGGTAATGAAGGAAACTGCTCTAATGTGACATATGCTGTCATCTGCTAGCAAAACCCCTCTGGATTCTGTTAGGACAGTGGTTCTCAACCTATGGGTCGCGACCCCATTTGGGGTCGATCGACCATTTCACGGGGGTCGCCAAGCAAGGCTGTCCGCCATTTTTTTTTCCCTTTTCCGGCTGGTGCCTTACCTCTCTTGGGCTGGGCCAGCTGGTGGTCGGCCTGCTCCGTCTCTGCTGCTTGCCAGCTATGCCTCGGCCGGCGCAGGGGGCGGAACCATGCATGCGCGGCGCTCCCAGGCAGGGAAAGTCCTCGACTTATGACCGGTTGGGTAGTCCTCAACTTACGACCGGTTTAGTCCTCAACTTACGACTGGTTTAGTCCTCGACTTATGACCGGTTGGGGGTCGCGGCATTAAAAAGGTTGAGAACCACTGTGTTAGGACATACAGGTTGGATTTTGTGCAAAAGAATTAATGGGCACTCAACTGACATCGGGATTTAAAACAAGTAATAACAGGATATTTTAACCTCCCAGAACTCTATTACAGATCTCAAAGTTGCAGTTTAGAACAAACAAACCAAATCAGCACAACTGAGCGTGAGATACCTGAGCTTACACATATCAAAAGGTCTCATAGGTAACTCAGAAAGCATGAATCAATTCAGTTGGCTTTTAACATATTACAATTGTTAATTGATAATAAACCTATAATTTGACCTCCATACAACCTTCATAATCACTCTGTATTCCCCACCTTCCCCCTCCCCATTTCATCCCAATGTAGTTAAGTCACTCCATGCATTTGATGAAATGAGCCGCGGCTCATGAAAGCTTATGCCTTTTAACATGTTTAGCCTCAAAAGGCGCTACCAGACTCTTTCTAGTTTTCATAACCATAGATTAATATAGCCATCCTTCCACAACAGTGCTGCAATTTATCCCTGCAGTTTTATTGTTTGTATTGCTTTAATTTCATTAATTTCATAATGAAATGGTCTGATGCATCTCCTCTGATTGGCAATATCAGGTGATGTTCATCCTCAAAATGTGAAGGACTATGTAAGACTTAAAGAGTATCCACTGGGAAAGAGGAAGGAAGGAGAGAGGGAAGGCAAAATAAAGAAGAAATCTGGAGATAGAAAAAATAATTTTAGCAATGGGATATACAAGGCTGCCTAGTGAAAAATAGTGTCTGTTGGGTGCTCTCATGAGGGTTATATGGAATGGGCAGGGGATAATAATAATAATAATAATGATGATGATGATGATGATGATGATGATGATGTAATAATAAAACTTATGTACTGCCCAACTCTCAATGACTCTGATTCACAACTATCAAGCAAAGAAATTAAAATAAAAAATAAAGAAAACGAGGCAAACATGATGGAGTGAGGGGGTCTCTCCCTCTCCCTTGTTTTACAGAGAAGTAAAACAGAAGGCTTCCTGGAAAATGGGACTTTAGTGTATGCGCTGGTATCTCTCCAAAGCAAATAAAGAAAGGAAAGTCTGCATGCCAAGATGAAAAGGAGGAGTGAGAGGTCGTGTGTACAAGTGTACATATAAACGATGAAAGTAGCATAAAGGTTTCATAAATTGCTATGGGGAAGGGCGAAGAATGTAAAGTCTGCACTGCAGCCACAACAGATTTTTCAAAAGGAAGAGGGTAGAGGTCTCCAGACTAGGCCAGCCTCAAGCCCAATTGAACAAACATCATCGTTGAAGGCATATCCCAAAAGACAAAGCACTTGCCAGCTTGAAAGTCCATTTCACCCAATTCTAACCATTTCCCCAGTAGCAAGGAGTCAAGTGAAGAGGTGACATTTCTATTGAGAAGAGCAGCAGCAACAGCTTGGCCGTATCACCATACAGTCTTAAAATATCTTGCTAAAAACGTTTCAATGGGGAGGGGAATGAGAAAGAGGGACAAACATTTCCTAGCCTAGAGCTCAGAAATCTGGGATGGAGCCAAGAACAAGAGCCAGACAAATGTCTATGAGTAGATGGTCCAGCAGATGCAAGTCCCAGCTGCGTGGCCTATTCCCCTTTCTAAGAAAACCCAGAGCAGCAACTGGAGCAAACACTTTCTTTTACCAAGAGAGATCTGGATATTTCAAAACAAAATCATTCCATCATGAATTTTAAGGTAAAGAAAAACACTGTCAATAAGAAATTTGTTGCTCTTAATTAGGGTTATCAGATCTAGACTACAAAAAACAAGACTGCTCAGAAAATCCTCTTTGTTGCCATCCAGTGATCATCTGGATCATTGCAGCCCACATTTGGCAACCCTAGGTGCCTTTGAAAGGAGCCATTCAACCATATTTGAAAACCTTCAAGAATACCCCACATTTTGTCCCAGTTTATTAAACATTCGAGCCATCTGCAAAATCAGAAACAAATTAATGATATAATTTCAGTCCCAAGGTAGCTGAACCTCTTTTCGTATCTTAAGTCCCAACCATCATGTTGTCAAAGAACTTGAATCTCAGTGATAAAAATGAAAAGACCACTTTTTCTGAAAATATTTGTATGTTTATGGCATGTAGTTATTCTATTTATAATTTGCAGTAAGCCCTAAAGTTTTAAAGTTTGCATGACTCGTGACTTGCATCACCTTAGTCAAGCACTGAATCCCACCATCCAGAACCACTGTTGTGCAGAATTTTCTACAACCTGGGGCTCTCTTAAATGCATTGGGATTGCCATTCCCAGAATTGTACAGCTAGCAAAATACTAACTCTGTAAGCAAGTCACAATTACAATTGGCATTGATCATTCTCCTGAGAAATGAGTTCTGCCACCTATGACTTTGCTAGTTCTGTTCCAAATGAATGCATTAGAGATTCTCTGCTACTTCTGCTAAAAAGGAGTTTTATATGGCCCTCTTTATGTTTTTATTTCAAGTGACAATTTTGTCTACTCCTATGCTATTTTATCTACTTCACAGGCTACTTCTGAGTGTTGCCAGTGACAGCTACTTGCTGCCAGCATTGCTGCTTCCTTGAACATTTTGTCAGTTTGGAAGATATTGTAGTTGGACTGCACTTAACAAGTCTGGTCTATATTCCTTTCTAGGACAGGCTGCTAGAAACTGACTTGAAGGTTCTTGAATATTGGCAGTGATAATTAAGTTGACTCTGTCATTTGAGGCTAGAAAGGGGAGGAGAGAGGATGTTGAACCTGCACAGCAACATAATCATTACATACTTTTGTTGAAGCAGTTTGGAATTTGATGAATGGATGTCACGTGATTGCAAACGATGACTAGGTTGATGTAATGCGCTTAAATAAGTTAATTAAATATCTAGTTGGGTCATTCACATATAAGTTATGTATAGGACTAACAGACTGCAAAAATAACAAGCTTTGCTCTCCGGACGTGTATGTGTAGCTTAACATGCTGTTGGAAATTCTATTTGCTCAGTTTACGGTTCAATATATTGTGCGAATTGAGAACACAAATAATTATCAGGTTCACCTAACCCAGTGTTTCTCAACCTTGACAATTTTAAGGCATGTGGACTTCAACTCCCAGAATTCCACAGCCAGCAATGCTGGCTGTGGAATTCTGGGAGTTGAAGTCCACATGCCTTAAAATTGTCAAGGTTGAGAAACACTGAAAAAGGTACTTTTTCCTATTTTCCGGCAACGGCGAGGCAGGATAACAACAAAACCCATCTTCCAAGGCGGTGCAAAGGATAATTTCTCAAGTCGCCTCCACAAACCGCCCTCTGATGGGCGCAGCGCCTTCCCTCGAGTGGCGCTCTGCACAGCCGATCAACGTATCTCTATGACTTCCGCCTTCACTTTTCCTGTTTCCGGTCTCGCCCTCCTTCGGCGGCAGCGGGGCCTGTGGGGCGATGGCGGCTGTACGGGGCCTCCGTATTTCGGTGAAGGCGACCGAGCCGGAGCCCATGGAAGTGGAGGAGGGCGAGCTGTTGCTTCAGACCGGAGCCCCCGCTACCACCTCGCCTCAGATAGCTACGGCATCAGCGGAGGAACTAGCCGTGCCGGTGGAGCGCTCGTTGAGGGAGCTGCTGCCGGTAACGGAGCCTGGGGAACGGGCCGGGTGGAGGGGTCACAGTCCGCCGCTTCCGGAGGCCTTTAGACACATAAACCGGGATCCGAGGCTTGAAAAACAGGGCACTCTTTGCGCATGTGCAGACTGCATTTCCATGGCCAAAGAGACTGAATTCGCTGTATCCGGATGAATGGGGTTACCGAGATACACGGATGTTGACAAGTAGGCCGTGCAGCCCTGATTTAAAAGATCTTTGCTTTCTTCCCTCGTTTCTTCTTCTGCCTCAGACTGCTTGCATGGCTGCCTGGCCCCAGATAGAAGCTTTCCCAAGATTTTGCACTAAAAAGGGAGTTTTATGTACTTACTTAACGTGGGCTTCGTCATTTCACAGACAGTGCAGTGTAGCTGAGGAGATTTCTCTAGGATGCTTCATGGGCTCTTGAAGAGCCCTTTATGGAGGACATGATGGAGATGGTGGCCTTCTCACAGGTGGCAATGCTCTTTTGGAGGCGGGTGAGGAATGGTAGAAATTTACCAGTCCTTTACTTTGGGCTTCAAAAAAAAAAAAGGTACATCAGTTTAAATTTAACAGGAAGCCTCAGAAAAACAAGAAAGAGCAACTGAAATGTTTTTTTTAGCTTGGATGGCCCTTGTTAATAAATTGGTTTGGATCTTTGGGAATTGGGAGATGACAAAAGGTTGAAGCAGGAGAACTGCTTTCTAGGAGAACTTCAGATTAGGAAAGTATATTATAACTTTCCTCGTTAATTGGGGACACTACCCTACAGAAAGGCACTTTGCTCAATAATTATATTAATGATTGTTTTATTTCAGGATACTAGCCGAAGATATGAAAACAAAGCTGGGAGCTTTGTCACTGGAATAGATGTGACTTCAAAGGTATTTATGTACAGTGATGTGCTTTTCATTCATTTTGGAAACCTGGAAAATGTCAAATTTCAGATTCATTGATGTACACGTATACATATTGCTATATGTATGTATATTATGTGAGTTTCAATCCATTTCAGTATATAGGCATATCTCTACAGCATGGCCTTCCACCTTTAAAAATAAGGGTTGTTGGCAGGATCCAAGTAATGTGTTATTTGCAATTGTGTAAATTATCTGTTCTTTAATAAGTATATAATGGCAAATGTAATAGTTTTCATTATTTTTTTTCTCTAGAATCTCTCAGTGTGAGCTTCCCTTCATAGTTGACTGATCTCCATACATAACTCTGAGCCTGAAGAAATATATTTTCATTCCCCAATACAATCAATATTTAAATGGGACTGTGACAATTCGAATAATTGAAAATAACATTTGACACAAGAACTTGGTCTTAGTATGCCTGGGAAATGGGTGCTTTTTCCTGTCATCTATCATCAGCTTCTCTGATTATTCTAATAGTTATTTGCAGAGATTGGGCTATGGCACACTGGACTCATCCCCAGTTTTAGGAAGGCTATTGAATACAGCTGATATTTTATTGCAAGAAGCAATTTATGGGAAGATTTTGTATCCTGAAACAATTGGGCCTCTGCATATTTTTCTTAAATGGGAAGTTACCTATCTTCCTGCTGTGAACGTGAAAAATTGTAGCTGTCTAAATTTATTGAGAAGCTTTTTTAATGGTGGCCTGGATTTTATTTCCCAATTGCATCATTCCCTTCTGTCAGGGAGAGCCAAATGTTTCTGCATCACATGGAGACTTGATAGAAGGAGCAAGTTGTTTTTCCAGTTATACTGCATAAAGCATCAGACCATAATTTCTGCTGCTATTCAAATACAGGTAATGTTGTAATATTGCAGAGTAGCACAAAAAATGAATTTAGGTTTTAAGACATATGAATGTTTTTTCTGTTTTTTGCAAAGCAGATATCAGCTGCTGTTACTACCAGTCACTTGGATATTCAATCACCTCTTTTTTTCCTTTTTGTAGGAAGCGATTGAGAAGAAGGAGCAGAGAGCAAAACGTTTTCATTTTCGTGGAGAAATCAATCTTGCTCAAAGAAATGTAACACTGGATCGAGATATGATGAAGAAAGGTACTGAGAACTGTGTGCTCTGTAAACAAGTAAATCTTCCCATTTGTTCTGGGCTTTGTAAAACTTGGTGTTTTGGTCTTTCAGGTTGGATGAAATGCACAACTGATCCTCCGTAATGAGTGTATTTTTCAGTGGATAGCTTTGTATAGATGAGGAAAGAATCCAAATGTTACATTTTTTTAATTTCAGCAAATGAATTAGTAGAGTAGAGCAGTGATGCTAGTAGATTGGGAATCAGGCACTTTGTGTAGAAACAGTATGTTGGCTGCCACCTCACGTTTGCACTTCTCAACCATTCAGAATCAGTTGCCATGAACTGGGGGGGGGGGGGCTGGATGGTAGATGGGATGATTGGGGAAACGAAACTTCACTGTATCTTTCTGAGATAGACTTCAAAGACAACCGCCTGGGAACAGAATGCAGCTGCATACCAAACCTACGCCTGAAGTGACTGTTCCAAAAGCATCTTATCTGAGTTTGATATGACATGAGGGCCCATGGGAAGCAACTGAAGGAGAGAAAAGTTAGACTTGGGGATTTTGGCGCTCGATTTTCAGTTCTGGCTACGCATTACTGTAATTCACTTGACTTCTAGTAAACTATACCTTTGTCAGTAAATGGAGTTAAGGATCATTCTTATTTAGAGGTTCAAGCTGTGGCAAGTCTGACACAGTAGGTGGGTAAATGTTTATTTTAGTACATAGTTATCTGCTATGTACTGAGTCAAATCATTAGTTCATCTAGGATGGTATAATAGTGGAAGATATCGGAAGTGAACTTCAGGACATATAATTTTACATGAAAATATGCTCACATTGAAAAATCTAAAGTCTTCTTATGCAACTATGGTTCCTGTGATCCTTAAATGAGAACAAATATTGTTGAATTTAAAGGGGGTCATCATTCTTTTGAAAACAGTGAATAATGCACATTGTAAAAATCTATTCAGATACAAATCTGAATAGATTTTTACAATGTGCATTATTTACTGTTTTCAAAAGAATGATGACCCCCTATCACTCCTTTAACCTTGTTATGCCTACATTAGGGAAAGAATTCCAAGATGGACTATGGAAAAGGGAATGAAAGGAATCCTTTTCCAGGTTTTTCATCTATAAATCTGATAATGGGACAAAGCAGCCTTTCTTCCTTTTTTGAACTGTGCTTTCTTGAACCTACAAAAAAGTGATGAAAAGCTGATTTATTTGCATTGTTGCCTGATGTTTTTTGTTTTGCTTGCCTTTTTTTGGGTTAGTTGCTGACACTTAGACTAGATTTTGAATTTCTTGTAGCCATTCCCAAATTGCGACTAGATACCATATATATTTATGGTGTTGATGAAATGAGCACCCAGGATATTTTTGCCTATTTCAAGGAATATCCCCCTGCTCACATTGAGTGGCTGGATGACACATCTTGTAAGTACTATTTATTTTAAGCAGAAAGATTATTTATTCTATGGGGATTGTCACCTTTATTTTCTGTTAAACGTATAGTGGGAATGGAAGAGTTTTTCCTTATGACATTTCTCCTACACTTGAGACAGAGTATTGCATTTTTCATTATGTGTTTGTAGTTTGGGCACTAACTGGATTTTTTTCTTTCTTTTGAGGCAATGTTGTTTGGCTTGATGAAGTAACAGCGACGCGAGCACTTATCAACATGAGTTCTATGCCTGGTGAGGCAAAAATAAAATCCCAAGAAAACTGTAAGAAAATAGAAGAATCCACAAAGAAAGGTAAAAGACATTTTGTTCCTTAGCCACAGGACTTTGGATTTTGTATGGTACATCTAGGCACATGTTAATTGGTGTTAAGTGGAATTCTGAAATTCACTGCTGAAATCACTTCTGTAGTTCCAGTGATAGTTTTGCTTGCAGAGATCATAGTATCAGCTTCTACCTCTAAATGTTGTACGTATATTTCATCTATATTTCATCACCTGTGTGAAAAGGCCTTAGGTAACAAGACTGAAAAGGATTTTCAAGAAAACTACTGATCATAATAAAGGAGACTGAACATGTGAAACGGTAGGCATGTTCAGAAGAATTAACTCAGTTTCAGGCCCTTAGTGCTAATCAGACTTAAGCCTTTATTCCATTTTTATCTTTTTGCTTTTGGTTCAACTCCTTATTTTTATAATTAAATATTTTTATTTGTGACATGACACTCTATTGAGGTGGACTACTGGTTTGGCTGAGCTTGTACAGGTAGTCTTTGACTTACAACAGTTCATTTAGTTACAGTTCAAACTTTCAACAGCATTGGAAAAAAATGACGCAGGACGGTTTTTCACACAACCATTGCAGCATCCCCATGGTCATGTGATCAGAATTCAGGCATTTGGCAACTGACTCATATTTATGATGATTGCAGTGTCCTGGGGTCATGTGATCACTTTATAATCTTCTGACAAGTCAATGGGGAAGTCAGATTCATTAAACCACAAAGTGTTACTAACTAAACAACTGCAGTAATTCACTTAATAACTGTGGCAAGAAAGGTCATAAAATGGGGCAAAACTCACTTAACAAATGTCTCAATAACAGAAATTGTGGGCTCAGTTGTGGTTGTAAGTCAAGGAGTATCTGTATTGTCTGTGCTGTAGAAAGAACTATACTTAATTAGTGGAACACGTTTTGTATACAAAAGTTTTTAGGTTCAATTCTGACTATACTAGAAAGATACGGAAAGACTCCATCCGGTTTATCTCCAATTTTTGGTTGATCAGACTACAGCAAATAGTTAGGCAGTCCTTAACTAATGTAATGGCTTTCCCTAATGCAAGAGTGTTTCCTATGCTCTTCCACGGTTTCAAGCCAAGTAATAATGCCAATTGCATTACTCCCTGAAAGGTTGTAACCTTGAATGCTTTGGACTGATACTGGGGTAATCTGCATGTGAGCCAGGTTCTCTGTCCCTGAGCTACTTGGTACTAGGTAGGAAATGTATTTCTTTCATAAGAAGTGTGGCTCATGTTGTGTTCATCTTGAGGCTCATCTTCATCTTCTTCCTTTTCTGAGTCTTACATGGCTTTAGTGCTGGGAACCTGGAGAGTCAATATTGGAGTGCAAAAGGGCCAGCTGCGTTCCATTCTTGTGGAGAAATCCTGCTTCATCTCATGACTTCTGCCTTTGTCACTTCTGGGTGATGAACTAGGCCAGGGGTAGGCAACCTTGGCTCTTTTATGACTTTTATGACTCGTGGACTTCCTGCTGGCTCAGGAATTCTGGGAGTTGAAGTCCACGAGTCATAAAAGAGCCAAGGTTGCCTACCCCTGAACTAGGCCGTTATTTACTAGGTATAGACAAAGTAATGATTGTAAAATATATTTTTGTTTATTTTAGAAAAAGAGGAGTCAAACTCAGATGAAGAAACGGAAGAAGGTGAGGTAGAAGATGATCATCCAAGTGATACAGAGGTTAGTGTAGCATGTTTGGGCTGTGACCAAGTCTGTTTGAATAAGAACCAAAAAAAGAAACCAAAATCAAGGAAGAGATTACCTATATAGCCCTCCACAACTCGAGCATTGTCTAGATCAGTGGTGGCGAACCTATGGCATGCGTGCCAGAGGCGGCACTCAGAGCCCTCTCTGTGGGCACACGTGGCGTTGCCCCAGCCTTGCCTCCCCCCCCGCAACCCCCTCACCAGCAGCCCCCCTGGAGGAGAGTCGCCCCCCGAGTGTGGCCCACACGGAGCAGTACAGCCAAGGACATGGCAGTCAGGCAGCGTACATAAGACTGCCCTCACGCCCCATCGTGCACAGTTGATGCGGGCGCGGGCCGAGGGTGTGGCTGCCATGGTGCTGCTGGGCGATCTGCGGCAGGCCCTGGAAACGGTGAGTGGCCCTGCGGGCAGGTGGGGTAGAGGCAGAGCGGGGACGGGGTGGGGGGGTGGAGCGGGGTGGGGGTGGGGGGTGGAGCGGGGGCGGGGCCAGTTTTTGGGCACTCGGTCTCTAAAAGGTTCACCATCACTGGTCTAGATGTATGGTCTTCCTAACATTCTTAGCAGTTACCATGCTAGCTGATTCTGGGAGATGTCCTGCATACCTGAAGAGGGCCCATAATGGGGAAAGCTGAAATGAAATAGCAGAATATGACTAATGAGTATCTACAGTCTAATTTGCCGGGCGGGGGGGCAAGTTTCATTGACAAGCTCAAATAAAATGTAATTATAACATAGGAACTGTGGTTGGCTGCGTATTAGACCAATAACAGGCCCCTTAAGCTGAGCTTTGTGCTCCTCTCAAAGACATGTATGTCATCTTGTAATTTGATTGAACTGAATGAAAAAATCTGAAAGCAAAATCAAAAACTGGGCTGGCTTCTTCAAGCTGAGAGATCTTGAATTGAACTAGAACAATACCTTTGTGAGTGTTTTTTTTTTCTACAGCTGGACACTTTATCCCAAGTGGAAGAAGATTCCCTTTTGCGTAATGACCTTCGTCCGGCCAGTAAGCTGGCCAAAGGCAACAAGCTCTTCATGAGATTTGCCACCAGAGGTAAAGAGCTTGACCTATACAAAGAGTCCATTGCAATGCAGTGCATAGTTATGGCCCAGTTTGTCTTGGTTTTATGGTCTACAGCAGACATGTCAAACTCACGTCACGTGACGTCGCGCGGTGTATCGGGACGGTTTTGCCATTGCCGGCAATGGGGTGGGCGAGGCTTCCAGATGGCGCGTCCGGCCCACGGGCCAGCAGTTTGACACCCCTGGTCTACAGAAATCTTTCATGAACCCTGAAATAAAATGAATTAGCTATTTCCCATCTATACAATAATTAACCAAAAATTTCACAGAAATTTCAAAAGAATTAAAAACATTTGTAAATCTGTAAAAAAAAACCAACCTTGGTAATAATATGTAATGTGTTGCTGGAGTGGTGAAAATATGGGTGCCAAGTGGAAGGCTCTGCATAACAAAGATGCTACTGAAGAGAAGCCCGTCTCTTAAGAGTCACCAAATGTATCAGAAAAAGTTTTAGCTATGTAGATTTTCATCTCATCTTTTAATCTTTCCTAATGCTTTCCACTCTCAGATTCATAGGTTATAGATCAGGTATCGGCTGTCTGTGGACTGCATGAAGCCACAGCAATGAAATGTGATTGTGATTTTTTTCTTCTATTTGTTGCTTTTTAAAATATTTTTAGCGAAATAACACCCATATTTAGATAGTAAGCCTCTACAGAATTAACCCCTCTGTTTTGAGTTAAAAAACCAAAAAAAATCCACAACATTAAAAAGCATTAGGGTTACATTTTAGCCATTGAAATTGATTCCCACTATGGAAAGAATTTGTGATTGGTTCCATAGTTCCACTAGTGTAGAATGTTCCTGCATCCACTTAGCATTTGTGCTACTCTTACAGATGACAAGAAGGAGCTTGGAGCTGCCAGGAGAAGCCAATATTACATGAAATATGGAAATCCTAATTATGGAGGCATGAAAGGCATCTTGAGCAACTCATGGTGAGCTGGGAAGAGATACCCCTTGGAAATTGTATTATCCAAAATATGAGCTATTGTGTTAGCTTGATTCCTTCATTTGAAAGTACCTTTCATTTCCCACATCTCCTGTGTCTGTCAGGCTAGGAAGATGTATGGGAAGTATCTTCTCAGTACGCTCTTCATTCTCTATAGCAGGGCTTTTCAACCTTTTCACCCATTGTACCACTTTTAGGATATGGCAACATCCAAGTACCACCAGTCACCTAGCAAGGTGTCAAAAACTTGATGACCAAAAAAAAAGGAAAAAAGTGAGAAAGTACAGGTAGTCCTCGACTTACGACAGTTCACTTAGTGACTGTTTGAAGTTACAATGGCACTGAAAAAAGTGCCCCCCGCCTACCCACCCAGTGGCGCTCTTCCTCCTGTCCGAGGTTTTCATTGTTGTGAGCATTTCTGTTGAGGATTGGCAGCGGGGATGGGGTGGGGGGGTGTTTGGTTTTTATTCCCCCCATCTGCTGGGTGGTTGCACCCGGTTTTGATCACTTCACATGACCCTGGGACACTGTGACCGTCATAAATATGAATCAGTTGCCAAGCATCTGTATGTAAATCACAAGACCCTGGAGATGCTGCAACATTCCAGCTGATCGGCGCTTCTGGGCTCAGCAGAAGCGCCAGGATCAGTGCTGCTTTCCAGCTGATCGGCGCTTCTTTTGGGCTCAGCAGAAGCACCAGGATCAGCGCCGAGCTCCAGCTGGAGCCTGGCGCTGATCCTGGCGCTTCCGCTGAGCCGTGACAGCCCTGCAGCTCAGGCTTGTGCGGTGCTGCCATCGGTTCAGCTCATTCCCCTCCCCCGCTACTTTTTCTAGGATGGTCGCGTACCACCTGCCAGGTGCCAATGTACCACAGGTGGTACCCGTACCACTGGTTGAAAAGCCCTGGTCTATAGCAGCATCAGTTAATGCACTGGATTTATTAGGGCGGTCTTTAGTCCAGGCCCATCTTACTATATTCTTGGGGTGTGGAATTAGGTACATGCTTGATTACAAGAAGACATTACAAGTAGAAGAACTGCAGCAGACAGCACAAGAAATAAATACTCAGGAATACTGGAAATAGGAATGCTCTTGAATGCAGGAAATATCTAGAATAGTTTCCTAGACTCCATATAATTTTAAGTTGTAGTTTGAAAAGTTGCCAACATATCTGCAAGACCAAATTAATATGTATATCAGGGGATGGGTTAACCGTTAGAGGAAAAACAGGCTTCTTGGCTGTGATAGTTGACACAATATGCTAAAGCTAATCCTGGATTAATAAAATACAGTTGTTATGTTCGTAGCAAACAGCATATTTGCATTACATTAAAGAAATGTAAACTATGTTATGGTATAACACAGTGGTCTGGTTCATATGGCCCATTAGGATGCTTGCTGGAATCTCTCAGAACACTGAACTATAGCCATAACCAAGCTTCATTTTATTTTGTCATGGTAGTGACAAAAGAGAAAATGAAAGTTCATCATTTTTCTGGGTCATTTGCAAATGGAAGAAGGTACAACCAAATCATCCCTGAGCAAAAATTCACTGGTTATATCTAAATTGTCTATAATAAGCCCAGTTTTTAGTGGAAGATTATAGGAAAAGCTTATGTTGGTGCACGTGATAGCTGCAAATCTTCCTTGTCTTTGCAGGAAGCGGAGATATCATTCACGCCGACTTCACCGGGATGTAATTAAAAAAAGAACTCTCATTGGGGATGATGATGGTCTGACACCCCCTTATAAACATCACTCAGGTAAGGGAAAACATTTTTGTAATGCAAGCAAATTATAACTACTTCTAACACAGTTGGTTTGTTGTACATTATAAAACTGGAGTATGTATATAAAACTGGTGTATGAATATGTGTGTATGTGTATTTTTTTTCTGACATAAAAGCTTCATTACCTAATTTTGCATGTATATAGGCTCTCCAGTAAAAACAGTTATCTGTATTATAGAATAGCATTGTGAAATCAAAATAGGAAGGAAAAACTGGGTTTTGGGACTGTGCCTTCATTCCTCTCTAAAAGCAACAGAAAGTATTATTCCTGGAATATAGGCCAAGATAGTTTAAGAATCGAAGTAATCGTATGGAGCAAATAACACAAATAGGAAAAAAAAACACTAGATAAATATTTTAAGGCAAGAGTTGGCGTCATCATTCAGCCCCAAACTCAGATAAAACTAATTGTTTCAGCCTTTAGAATTGGTTCTTGCAAAACCAAGACAGCCAAGAATTTGCGCATGCAAACGACATGTATGAGCAAACTAAAAATACAACAACCAGGGAACAAACTTTACTCTCTGTACAGAAAACGTCACTGAGATCTTTATACTGACATCTGGTGACTAATCTTGCACTTTAAGCTCTTTTTCAAGGTTTCTAAGAAAATGTCCATAAAGAAGGTCACCTCAACTAGCTGATCTTGACAGAAAATATTCAGTCAGACCCAATTATTACTTGGATGGGGAACTATCTGGAAATCTGCAAGTGTTTCTAAAATTATGAAATCAAACCATTCATAAATGCCATAATCCAAATATCACAATAACAGTAAACAGAGAAGCTTAGCTTATAATCAGAAAAGATACCATGGACTGGCTTCTAGAAATTATTAGAATAAGAGCAAATGTTTCCAGTAGTGTGTCTTTATGATTCCTGCTTCTTGATTTTCAAATACCATCAGTTAATGTTTTCAGGAGAGAGACCTGTTCCGTATGTCTGACATCTGATTCTACCTGGTAAAAGTTGCTTTCATCCAAGAGGCTGCTATTACTATTTATGCTGCTCTGTGTCAAAATGAATGCTCAGTATATTAAACACCTATTAACAAATAAAGGAGCAATAGTGACCCAGAGAACTGTATATTTTGTCCACTCATTCATAATGGTTAAAATAAAATAAGACTTTTCTTAGTTGAGGAGGTGAACCATATTGGGCAGAAATGATTTGATTCCCCACAGCCACTCTGACACTTGGATGGACTAGATAGTAATGGTCAGTGTAATTCAATAAGTGTCCAATGACATCTGTGGGTTAGTAACGTTCATGATATTTTCTGGAATTAAGTATGAGTTGTTTACCTAGGTCGGGTAGGCAACCTTGGCTCTTTTATGACTCGTAGATAGCTGGCTCAGGAATTCTGGGAGTTGAAGTCCACGAGTCATAAAAGAGCCAAGGTTGCCTACCCCTAACCTAGGTGATGATTTCAGAGCCTTTCTTATCAAGAATTGGGTAATGACAGATGAGAGCTCATCTTTATCTGCAAAGTAAAAAATTATTTTGAAATTTAAGTGAATGTTCATTTGAGAAACCTTTTTAAAAAAATTATCCTGGGTTTTTTCTTCCCTATATTTTCTTACGTTGCTGGTTTGTTCATGATTTTATGTATCAAATAGCACCTTTGCGAGGAAAGCTCTGCCTCAACTTAATGAGCAAGTGCTTAGGTTTGATGTTACTTCTGTCTGGAGGACATTGCAGAAAGTTAACATTCGGAAAGCGGCAAGCCTGAATAATATCCCTGGGCGAGTTCTTAGGGAGTGTGCAGATGAGTTGGCCTGTGTTCTTACAGATATTTTTAAGCTTTCATTGTAGAAGGCAGTCATCCCTTCATATTTTAAGACTGCAATTATTTTGCCAGTGCCTAAAAACTGTACAATCATAAGTCTTAATGATTATTGTTTGGTTGCACTTAACGTCCATCATGATGAAATGCTTTGAAAGGCTGATAAAGGACTATATTGTATCCAGCCTCCCTCCAGCATTTGACTTACTTCGGTTTGCTTACCGGGTGAATCACTCCACGAGGGTGCTAATTCCACTGTTCCCCATCTGAGTTTGACACACTTAGAGGAAAGAAACACTCATGTGCAAATGCTGTTTGTCAACTTTAATTTGGTATTTAATATGATCATTCCTCCACATTTCGCAAAGAAACTAGGCCTTTTAGGCTTTAATACTCCTTTGTGCAACTGGATTCTTGATTTTCTTTGCACTGATAGGCCCCAGTATGTGCGAGTTGGGACTAATATTTCTAGCACCATTTCTTTAGCCCAGGTTTTCCTCAGGGCTGTGTCCCAAGTCCACTATTGTTCACCCTGATGACTCATGATGTTGTGCAAAATTTGCTACCAACCATATTGTGAGGTATGGTGGGCTTCATTCAGGATGACGATGGTGCTTATAGGAAGAGGGTTCAATGAACTGGTGTAATAAGAACATTTTGGTTCTAAATGTAGGAAAAACAAAACAAAAATCATTGATTTCAGAAAAGTCGGGCACAGCGATACATACCTCTCTGTATTACTAATTCAACTGTGGGGGTGGTTAGGAGTACTGTATTAAGTTTCTTGTGGTGCAGCTAACAAGTAGGTTAGCTTGGTCTCTCAACAGTGAGACACTGGTGAAGTGAGCATTGCAGCGCCTGCATTTTCTGCGTCGTATAAGAAGACACATCTTCCTTACCATTTTCTATAAAGGGATGATTGAGAATATCTTGTCATATGTATTACTGTTTGGTTTGGAAGTATTACTGCTTTGGACTGGCAGGCTGTGTATAGACTGGTGAGGATGACGGAAAAGATTATTGGAAGTTCATTTCCTTCTATCCAGCACATGGCATATAAGCATTGCTTGACCAGGGTCCACAATATTGTCAGGGACTTTACACATCCTCTCCATTACCAGTTTTCATTGTTGCCTTCTGGGAGGAGGCTTCGTGCTACCTGAAGAGAACAACTAAACTCTGTAATAGCTTTGTAGTAAATAGTATCAACCTTGTTAACTCTCAAAGCTCTTTTTTCATTATATATTCAAAATGGACTGTGATTAATATGTATGTAAGTTGTGTTGTCATTTTAGTATAACTTGGTACTTTTGGATGCTGCTGCTGTTACTGTATTACTGTTATCTTTGGGATGGTGACACTGTTTGGTGGATGGCGTTTTTTCTTTTGAGAGTGGGCATCAGAATTTCATTTTGTGCCATTGTGTATACAGAAAAATGACAATAGATGTTATCTTATATTCTTTCCTCTTCATTAGAAGGTGGTCTATTGCTGCAATCATTACTGATGTAATAGATAAGCTGTTATTTATGATCATAATTCATGATACATACAGGGAACATACAATTCTTTAACGGGAATTAGCAAAATAGATTTCTAATGTGCTTAGGCATCAGTAGAAGTCATTTTGGAAAGAGGAAGTACACTAAACCAGCAAAATATTTACTGAATTCTTATTTTTTGGTTTCCTTTGCAGGTACTCCACATACCACATACCACCTAATGGTTGTATCCAACCATTTTCACACATAAAATGGTGGGTGCGGTTTTAGCCATTTTAGAAAGATCTTTCTTGCCTTCCAGGATTAGTAAATGTACCTGAAGAACCAATTGAGGAAGAAGAGGAGGAGGACCAAGATGATGATCAATATATGGATGAGGATGATCGTGTAGTTGTGGAATACAGAGATGAACTTCAGGCTTACAAGCAGTCTCGTGAACGGAGTGCTCGGCGGTCCAGTGCTAGCGAATCTGATTCTGATGAAATGGACTATGATCTTGAGCTGAAAATGATCTCTACTCCTTCCCCCAAGAAAAGCATGAAAATGACTATGTATGCAGATGAAGTAGAATCTCAGTTGAAGAGCATTAGGTAAGGCTGGTTTACATTGAGAAAGCTCCTTTATTTCTTAATCCTAGATTACGTTGGTGAGCTGATGAGATTTGACCATCAAATTAAGATTGCATAAAAGAAGAAAATTGGTTCAAACCAATTGGAATTGTTGGAATTACAGGCACACTGGTGATGTGAAAAAACAGGCATGAAAATAAATTTAAAGCAGAATAAATGAAGCAATTGCAATGTAACTGACCACAGGATTATAATAGATAAATCAGAAACTATTTGAGGGTAAATCAAATTAGGAAAAATATTAAATTCAAAAAGATAAAAGAGTGCTGGGGCTCCTTTCCGCTCACATTGATGATCACATTTGGGAAATATTTGCTCATGCTAATATTTAGTCTTCCCTGGCGTTAAGGACTTCAGCTAGCCTCGGGGTGATCTTTTCTTGGCTTTGAGATGTTCAACAGAACAGAGGTTGGAGCACTTTCTCACTCCAGAACAACTGGAACCTTGATTTTGAAGTACAGATTTACCTATTCTCATTAAGCCACACACCTTTTACACAAAAAGGTGTTCTGACGGGAGTTTGTAGAGTTTGCAGTTTCCATTTTGATTCATGCAAGATTATTTTTTTTTAATGTAGAAATTCAATGAGAGCAGACAGTGTCACTTCCAGCAATATCAAGAATCGTATTGGAAGCAAAGGAGCCTCAGAGAAAGTTACTGATGTGAGGCTGCTGTTGGAAGAAAAAAGGCACGGGAGTCCTAGCCTGCATCAGCCCGTGAGCTCTGTGAAATCAGGTAAAGGATTCTTTGCTGTTGATTATCCCAACTTACTTCAGCTTTGGAGGACCTGTTTTGTAACATTGCATTACTTGTATAATTCAGAATAAATAGGATGAACAACATGGATATTTTTCAGGTGCTCGATGCCCCTGAGATGGCATTGTTGATTTGGCCCACTGTTAAGACATTTCAGATCATTCACCCTCCTGATACTGCATGTGCATGTACACATACACCCCCATCCACACCCCCAGTCTTCCCATCGGGCTCTTGGATCATGTACTGCAGTGTTTCTCAACCTTGACAATTTTAAGGCATGTGGACTTCAACTCCCAGAATTCCACAGCCAGCATTGCTGGCTGTGGAATTCTGGGAGTTGAAGTCCACATGCCTTAAAATTGTCAAGGTTGAGAAACACTGATGTACTACCACTGGTATACTCAGCTTAATAATAATGCTTATATTCGGATTCTTCATTGCGATGATGAGTG